GCTAACTTACTGCTAGAGCAGCCCCGAGGCTGCTCTGACTTTACAATGCAGGCCGGGCAGGGCCCTGCACAGGAAGCCTATGGGGAGGACAAAGCTGGCTTAAAGCCATTGTAAACCACCTTCCCTGTCTCAAGTGAGAATAACAGCCCCAAACCCCTGGGATGTGCCAGCCAATCGGGAAAGAGAAGCCAGCACCAGTTGTTTCAGAGGATGATTGATAGAGTCGAAGCGGTTAAGGCCAGAAGGGACCGTTAGACCATCTAATCTGACTCTGCAAGCCCTTCAGTTTCACTCGATACCGCTGTATCAAGCCCTGACTTTAGCTAGACTTCGGTGTTTCAGTCTTCAGGAGGCGAACCTGTTGTGAGCCCCACCCAGATCTAGCCGGGGGGGAAATACCCTTTCCCTGGCTGCCTACATAGCTGTGGTGGTTATTTATTATGTGAATTACGGTAGTGCCAAAAAAACCCAGTCACAGACAAGGACCCCTTTGTGCTAGGGCTGTACATTTGTATTGCTATTAAGTGTATTACGGTAGCTCTCAGGCACCCTAGTCCTGGATCAGAACCCCATTGTGCTAGGGGGCTGGACATTTTATTGCAAGTAAGTGTATTACGGTAGCACCCCCAGTCATGGAGCAAGACCCCATTGTACTAGGTGTTGTACCTTTTTATTGCTATTAGGTGTATTATGGTAGTGCCTCGGTGCCCCAGTCACAATGGTGAGAGGTGCTGCACAGTTGTGTTGCTATCAGGTGTATTACGGTAGGCACCCCAGTCTTGGACCAGGATCCCGTGGCGCCAGGCGCTGTACATTTCTATTGCTGTCAGGGGCTGTACAAACACAGAACAAAGAGCCAGTCCCTGCCCCAAGAAACTGACCTGCTGCCTTCTCATTTCCTCTCCCCCTGCCTTCGGGGTCCCTGCTGTGAGCTGCCTGGCGAGCGCTCCCCCCTCTCTCGTCTCTTTCAGATTACTCTTCTGCTGTTGGTTCCCCTGGATGCTGCGTGCAGAGATGCAGTCCTAAGGCCTCGGCGCGCGCCTCTCCCGTCCTCCGCTCTGTCCTCTGTTCTCCAACTAACCGAAAGACTGCTCTCCCCGTTGGGCTCTCATCTCCCCCCCTCCCGTCCCCGAGTCGCAGTTCTAGTGAACCCCAGTGCCTTGGTACCATTGAACGTCGCCCCCTGTAGTCCGCGAGAAAGGCTGCACTAACCCCCCCCACCCCACCGCGCGTATGCACCCCACACCCCGGGTAGACGTGACATGGGCTCGGAAGCTCCCCTCGTTGATTTCTCCCCAACCCCCCTCCGGGGCACAGTGGCACGAACACAAAACCTCTTTGGTACAGATTTCCCTCTGCGGTTTGATTGCTCTGAGCCTGACGCTCGGGGTAAGGCGGATCCAGGATCCCCAGAACCTGGCCCTTTGAGTTGCTCCCCAACTAAACGTAATCTAACCTGGCCTCTCTCTACATCTCTGTAGCAGCGTGGACAGGGTCAGGTTATAACATGCCGAGTATGGAAGTAGTGATCCTCCCCAGTTTAAGCCGCCTTTTCCTCTGGGAATCATGTAATGCTCACCTTCCAGGATCAATGCTATTCGATTGCTCAGTTCCTTCCAGGGAGGAGATCTGGCTTATAGAAACCGGTCTCATGCTGGACCTTAAAGAGCAGTGAGATTTGGGGGGACCTTCCTCTCTGGAAGTAGTGCGGGCCCCCTTCTGAGAAAGCCCCCGTCCCCCGGGATTCACTCTGGGGCCCACTGTTCAGTTACCAGGGGGAAAATCAGTGCATGAGTGTATTTCTAAGGTAGATCAGCGCTTACTGAGATTGCTAAGCATTCCCCTTGAGACACAACTGCTCCAAGGACCAACTGATGTTGACTTCAAAGCTTGGAGCAGCTTGTACCGGGGTCGGGGGTCTCTTAACACGGCGGTTGTCTGGTGCTCCTCTGTCCCTCTTTCATTCTCATCGATGCGTTCCCCTCGGCGCGATCGCTCTTTATTCGCAGGCAAACCTGCCGGGCTTTTTTCCTTTTTGAGCGGTTTAGAAAAAATATATATTTTTAAAAGAAAATGACCCTTAATAACTATCTTAAAAGAAAAATTAGCCGTGGATGGCATGTTGATGTTCCCCACCGAGCCAAAGGTCTGTCTAAACGTGAACGTTGTCCTGTTGAACTCTCCCGGTTAGAGCAGTCCAGTCCCAGGCCAGTTAAAGCAGTACGATGGATTTATACTGGGATCAAGGTGCTTATATCAGTCTAGCGGAGAGAAAGGGGAATAAACTATACTGGCTACAAGACACCTTTATCCTGGTATAACTAAACTCTACACAGGGGTTATATCAGTGTAACGGTATCAGTTAAAAAAAACACCTCTAGCCCACACGCTTGTGCCAGCACAAAATCCGTGTGTGGAACTGGTGTAAGGGAATGAGGTGCCCCCTTTCCATGTGGGAATAGCAATCCTGGTGTAAGCACACTGATCTTGGTAAAACTGCGTCCACACTAGAGGGGAGTTGTACCGCGTTAGCTGGTGCGGTCTAGTGAAAGGGGGACAGCGTTTGGGGGCAGGTCTCGGGAATGCTGGGAAGCCGGAGGCATTTGGGATGTTGACAACCGCCTCCGAGTGGCTGCTTTTGGGAATGGCGTAGAGCTCCCTGTCTGAGTGGCTGGGCTCGGCTACGGGCAGCAAAAGGTACTGTGGCCTGCTCTCGTCGGGGGAGAGCTACAGATAGTTGGCTGGGTACTGCCCAAGACAGGGCGTGGGTCATTGCTAGAAACCAGGAACAGCTGCATAGAATCTATCCCTCCATCCATCCATCCCACTGAATCCTTGGATCCATCCGTCTTATCCCTCCACCCATCCTTCCTGATCCCTCTATCCTCAGATCCATCCATCCATTTTCTCCCTCCATCTCTCCGTTCTTCTCCCTCTATCCTCAGATCTATCCATCCATTCTTATCCTTCCCTCCATCCCCCACCGCTGCTGCCATGTCCCCTAATGTCACAAACTAGAAAAGCGGGAGAAAACAACTGGTCAATCTGCTTTCTCTGGGGTGTCCTGTTAGTAAGCAGAGGTAGCCTGGTCCAGTGGTTAGAGGTGGGGAAGCCAGAACTCCTGGGTTCTATTCCTGACACTGGGAAGGACAAGGGAAAAGGAAGCCCAGACACCTGTTCTATTTCTGACACTAGGAAAGGTGCGCTGGGCAAAGGAATAGAAAGCCAGGACTCCTGGGTTCTGTTCCTGGCATTGAGAAGGAGCGTGCCACTGACACTATGGGCAAGTCCCCGTGCCTCTGTGTGCCTCAGTTTCCCCCAGCTACAAAATGGGGATGAGGATATTGACCCACCTCACTGAGGGGTCATGGAGCTTC